TCTTAACCCACTACCCCCCCTGCCAGTACCAAAGTAGATACTTTTAAAAACAAATAAAAGCCTGAAATAAACCTTCACATATATGGCCAACTGACTTCACAAAGATTACAAGACCAATTAACGGGAAAAAGATCATATTTTCAATAAATGGTGCTGGGAAAACTGGATATCCACATGCACAAAAGTAAAGTTATATACAAAAATGAATTCTAAATGAATCCAAAGGCTTAAACATAAAAGAGCTACACTTGTAAAATTCTTAGAAGAAAACACAGAGGAAAATCTTCATGACAGTGAATTTGATGATGATTTCTCAGATATGACACCAAAGCAGAGATAACAAAAGTAAAAATAGATAAACTGAACTTCATCAAAATTACAAAAGTAAAGTTATATACAAAAATGAATTCTAAATGAATCCAAAGGCTTAAACATAAAAGAGCTACACTTGTAAAATTCTTAGAAGAAAACACAGAGGAAAATCTTCATGACAGTGAATTTGATGATGATTTCTCAGATATGACACCAAAGCAGAGATAACAAAAGTAAAAATAGATAAACTGAACTTCATCAAAATTAAAAATTTTTGTGCATGCAAGCACACTATTAAGAGAGTGAAAAAAAAAAAACCCATCGAACGGGAGAAGATATTTGTAAATCACATATAGTATCAGATAAGAGATTAATATCCAGAGTATAGAAAGAACTCCTCATACTCAAAAATGACAACAAAAGCAAACAACCCGATTCAAAAATGGGCAAAGGATTTGAACAGGCATGCATTTAAAAAAGATATATAAATGGGACCAGCAGTTAGCGTAATGACTATGTCGCTGGACTCCCATGTAGTCGACCGCAGTTCACGTCCCGGACCTGGTGGGTTAAAGCTCACACCGGGCGCATGTGCGTACGTGCCCAAGATCCCGAGAGGAGAAAGGAGGAGACAGGATTGTGGTGTGGCCATCCCCCCCTGGGGGGTGATTTCTCACTTTTTGCCTCTCTGTCTCTCTCTGTCTGGCGAGCGCACGTGCCCTATAGCAAAAACCTCTCAAAAAAAAAAAAACAAGAAAGAAAGAAACATTAGCATCTGAACCAACAGACTGAGCAAGAAAATCTGTCCTCATATTGTGGGGCAGATAACATCCAATCTTAAAAAAAAAAAAAATACATAAATGGCCAATAAGAACATGAAAATATTTGGGGCCAGCCAGTGGCATGGTAGTTAAGGTGCTGGACTTCCACATGGCCAACTGTGGTTAGAGTCCCAGATCTGGAGGCTTACTGTCTCACTTTGCCTCTCTCACTTTCTCTCTTTCTGCTGAGTATACATGCCTTATAGCAAATTAAATAATAATAACAGCAACAAAGAAAATTAAATAATTAATTTTAAAAAGGAATGTGAAAATAATCAGCATTACTGATTATTAGGGAAATATAAGTCAAAAACCACAATGATATACCACTTCACTCTCATTATCAAAATGACAGAAAATAACATGTATTGTCAAGGATGTGGAGAAACTGGAATCCTTGTGCCTTGTTTGCAAGAATGCGAAATGATGTAGCAACTGAGTAAACAGTCAGACAGGTCCTCAAAAAAATTAAATGTAGAATTACCATATGACCCAACAATGTATAGAGGCATATACATCACAGAATCGAAAGCAGGAACTCAAACAGATATTTGCACATCATAGCAGCACTATTCACAACAGTCAAAAGGTGGAAACCACCCAAATGTCCATCAACAAATGATGGTATATCTATACAATGGAATATTACTCAGCCTTACAAAGGAATGAAATTCTGACACATGCTATGACATGGACGAACTTTGAAAACATGCTAAGTGAAGTAAGCCAAATAAAAAGGGGCAAATATTATATGACTCCACTTAAATGAGGTATCTGAAATATGCAAATTCATAAAGACAAAAAGATTAAGAGCTTATCAGATAGGGGAGGAAGGAAAAATGGGGTATTATTAATTAACAGGAAAAAGATTTTATTTGGGATGATAAAAATCTTCTAGAAATGGATAGTGGTAATGATTGCACAAAATTGTGAGCGTACTTAATGGCAATAAACTGTACACTTAAAAACTGTTATGATAAGGAACCAGCAGGTGGCGTGGTGGTTCGAGTCCCAGATCTAGTGGCTTGCTTTTTCACTTTCTTTCTCCCACCAAATTAAAATAAATGAACAAATAAATAAAATTAAAGAAACAATTCTTTTTAAAAAAAAAAACCTGTTACAGAGCCAGCAGCAGGTGGTGTGGTGATTAAGGCGCTGGGCACTCCCACATGGCTGACCATGGTTTAAGTCCCGGACCTGGTGGCTGGCTGGCTCGCTCTCTTTCTCTCTCTCTGTCATCAAATTAAAATGAATGAATGAATAAATAAAATTAAATAAATAATTTTTAAAAAACCTGTTAAGATAAGGCCAGCAGGTAGTGTAGCAATTAAGGCACTAGACTTCCACATGGCTGACCGTGGTTCAAGCCCTGGACCTGGAAACTTTAAACTCATGCTGGGTGCATGTGTGCACATGCCTCAAATCCCAGGAGAATGGAGAAGAAGGGATTACAGCATGGCCATCCCCCCACGGGGAGTGATTTCTCACTTTTGCTCTCTGGTGAGTGCACACACCCTATAGCAAAAATCTCTCTCTCTCAAAAAAAAGGTATATATATTGGTAAATATTAACTTATGTATATTTTTACCCTGGTACCAAAAAAAAAAAATTCTAAATAACAAAATACACCCATATGTATACCCAGAAACAGAAAAACAGTGAAGGAAAACAGGTACCTTACCTGCCAGGGACGTAACCAGAACAACGTGAAGACAAATGATGAAAAGAAGTATCCTGAACTTCAGTAAAACTTCCGCCAGTCTGCCAGCATGACCACACTGCCCACCAGAGAAAAACATCCTGGAATACAAGAAGGGGGTAACAGATCATCACGGCCGCCATACTTATAACACAGACATACCCAAAAGCTCATTCCTCAAGCCGGGCAACTGAAATCCTGCTTTCTCCCAATTACTATGGCTCCAGAGCCATGCCCAGGGGACACTGCCTACAAAATGTAAAGCCCATGTTTACTATGGGTCACCCAGTAGGGTATTACATTTTAAATAATAAGCAAAATAATCCACGTGGATGTATGGAAAATACTAACACATGGAAAATATCAAGGAAAGAAATTAAAACCACAAATTATTATATACATAATTATTCCCACTATCTAAAGGTGGGTTAGAAACTATCCAAAAGGGCCAGCTCCATAGGGGTTAGGGAAGCCAGATCCCGCAAGGCCAACCATGGTTCAAATCCTGGCACCGCTGCTTGAAAACCATGCCGTGTGCCTGTATGTGAGTGCCCCATTTCCCGACAGGATGGAGGAGTGGAGAAAAAGGGAATGCAGTAAGAACATGCCCCACTGGGTGGTGTTTCCCCTCTCCCCTCTCTCTCTAGCTCTATGTCTCTCTCTGAAGAGTACATACATGCTCTGGCAATTAAAAACAATCAAAGAAATTATGCTGAGAATCAGGAATTAGAAGGGGGGGTCACAGAATCTTTTAAATAATTCATCCCTATTGGCTTTATATTGTAAAAGAATCGGTACACTACATTTTCTTCAAAGGATAGCTGCATTTCCTCTTTATTGGACATTATTTTATTATCATTGCTTGCATTTTTAGTAGTCAGAAAGGCAAGGAGTCAACATTTTTTGAAAAGCAAATCTTATAACCATTGAAAAGCTATTCATTTATTTATTCATTCAACAAACATTTATTGAGGGTCATCTATGCTAGATGAGACGTGAGGGCTGAAGAGGAGTAAACTAGATGTAAGACAAGGGGTGTTCATGGCAAATGTACATTATGAAAAAAACAGGACGAGCAGTTAGCGTAATGGGTATGTCGCTGGACTCCCATGTAGCTGACCACAGTTCGAGTCCCAGACCTGGCGGCTTAAACTCATGCTGGATATGTGTGCGTGTGTGCCTAGGATCCTGAGAGGAGAATGGAGGAGAAGGGATTGCAGTGTGGCCATCCCCCCTGGGGGGTGATTTCTCGCTTTCTGTCTCTCTGTCTCTCTCTGTCTGTCTGGCGAGCACACGCACCCTATAGCAAAAACCTCTCCAAAAAAAAAAGAAAAAAAAAAACTGTGCAAGGACCTCAAAATATTTTTGCACCAAAATAAACTTGTACTTCAATTCTGTTTTTCTATAAGCTTTCTAAAGTTCCCTCATACGTGGAGGTAAGCAGGGGGCTGGTGGGGGCTCAGCACACGGAGAGAACTACAAATGCTGACGGAGTCTGTTCCGCTCACTTTGAGGAGTAGGCCAACATAACCCCATGAGGGACAGTGGCAGCAGCAGCCGAGGCTGGCAGGGGATGCTGGGGGAAAAAGCCAGTCAGGAAATCAAGACCCACCTACTCATGGGCTCAGGTACAGGCAGGGGACAGTGAGAACCCTCTGAGCAGGTTCCCCCCACACAGTGAGCGGGAACATGGCTGTGACAGACCAGGCTGTGTCCTCTGCTAACTGAGAGCTCCTAGCCAAGGGTACCCATGAATCCAGCCAGCACGGCATTCCCCACAAGCCCAGGATAGAGCGCACACACATACTCACAAAGACTAAAGAACGTGAGTTCAAAGGTCCCAGCTCTGCCAGGTGACATGTGAGTGCCCTGGATAAGTTAACTTCCTGTGGCCAAATTTTCCCATCTAGCAAACCGATAACAGCACCAACCTGAGAGTGTCACTGTGATGAGTAAACAGATCTTTGCACAGAACTCGCACTGTGAGTGCACTATCAGCGCTAGCTGTCCTCTTCACTCGCGCGCTCGGCCCAGATCTATTATGTTCTGAGTATGTGCAGGCTCAGCCAGTGCAGGGGCTATGGAAATGAGGGCAGGGCAAGAGAGGGTTTCTCAGTCTCACGGTAAAGCTGGCATCCCTTAAGAATCCTGTATGGCCATCCAGAATCAGGAGAGTGACCCTTTTGTTGGCATGGTGTGGTAAGGTTTTAGACCAGGAGGTGACTCCTTCTTCAAAAGAGGGCTTACATTTTTAAATGAATAAATTGCATTATATAGGAGATCAGCAGGTGGCGTGGTGGTTAAGGTGTTGGATACTCCCACATGGCTGACCACGGTTTGAATCCTGGACCTGGTAGCTAGCTTTCTCACTTTCTCTCTCTCTCTCTTTCTGTGTGTCTCTCTCTGGTCAAATTAAAATAAATGAATGAATAAATAAAATTAAAAGAAATAATTCTTTTAAAAAATTGTATTATGTATTAATAATATTATAATAGATCACAAAATGCCTCTGATTTGTCTCTTCTTTTCAGTACTTTTATCCTCTCTGCTCCTAATGGCATGTTATTGATTTTCCCAAATGAGTTACACAAATGAGATTATTAATACAACTGGGCAAAGATGTATCACTGTATCTCTGGAGGAAAACCTTGAGTGTCTGCTGCAACTACACAACACCATATCAATGAACCTCTGAAATACGATGTTGTCAAGAAAACCAGACACAAAACAATGCATATTGTGCATAATTCCATTCATATGAGAAACAAAAGCAAACAAAACTATTCGCTGTCACTGAAAGTGAGAAGGGTGGTTATCCTTAGGAGAGAGGGTTGTAATAATAATAGAAAGAGGCATGAGGGGGGTTCTGAGGTACAGGTGATATTCGGTGTGCTGGGTGGGCGTATTCAGTTTATAAAATTCACTGAGCTGTACACATACACATAGTATGTACACATGTGTCATAAGACATTTCAATAAAGTTAAAAAATTCATGTATTTTTATGTTTCTGAACTCTGCTTCTCCTCAGAAAGCACTTTTCCTTAAAAAACAAAAGCCATTATATTTAGTGAACTAAAGCTCTACCAAAAGACTCTCTCCTATGCAAATGCTTTGGGTTTGACTCTACCTGGAATTGGTAGTGTTGACTTAGGAGATTTAATGCAGAAGTATCTAATTTTAGCTCTGAGAAGAGTATCAGAGCAATATATATCTAGAAAGAAACTCAGAATTCACTTAGCCTCAAACCTTCATTCTGCAGATGAAGAGGTCTAGAATGCTCCAGGAGATCGGTCAAGGTCACTCAACTCTTTGGTGGAACTCCTAGTCTTTCTTTCTTCTTTTTGTTTTTAAAATATTATTTATTTAATTTTATTTATTATTAATTTTTAAAATTTTATCAGAGAGAGATGGAGAGCAGGGTGGGGGGTAGTTAGAAAGCAAGCCATCAGGTCCAGGACTTGAACCACAGTCAGCCATGTGGGGAGTCCAACACCATAACCACCAAGCAACCTGCCAGCCCCACCCCTAGTCTTTCTACCAGGCCACAATGCTGGCTTCCTAAGAAATGATGTCCTTGTAAATAAAATGTTTTGAATCCACCAGGTGAAACAAATCAACAAATTCAAACTGCAATTTTATCATTTCAAAATTTCTGCTAACTCATTCTTGAGCTTTGCCAACTCCTCGGGCAGGACCTACGTGATGTACAAGATGTGGTCCAAGTTAAATTAGTGTACACAGTGATTAGTTATTATGTGCTGTGACTTGGGCCTCTGATTAAAATGAATCACGCCTTTTCATTGAAGAGAGAATATAAGCAACTCCCAAATGGGGTAAGAAAGGCCAGGATGAAGGATGATTCTAGAAATCAGCTTGGAAAGAAGATATGCATAAAAAATTTACTATAGACTGGATGCCACCACTGAAAAGACTGCTTCCAGTTGTCAAGTCTGGAATGTGTTTCCTCAAAGGGAATAAAAAGGGAGGTACTAAAGAGAAACTTATTATGGGTAAAGCAATAAAAATGAAAAGCAATTGCTTTGGATTATTCAATTATCAAAGAAGTCAGAGAAAAAAGAAATCAGGAAACTGTTCATAAAAGTATAATTAAGGGACTAGCAGATGGCATAATGGTTACATTACTGGACTCCCACATAGTTGGACTACGGTTCGAGTCCCAGACCTGGCAACTTAAAACTTATGTCGGATGCAACTCTGTGCATGCCCAAAATCCCAAGAGGAGAATGAAGGAGAGGAAGAGACTTCAGTGTGCTCATCCCCCTTGGGGGTGATTTCTTAGTTGCTATCTCTCTGTCTCTCTGTTTCTCTGGCAAGCGAACATCCCCGATAGCAAAAAAATCTCTCTTAAAAAAAAAAGCATAACTGGGACCAGCAGTTAGCATAATGGCTATGTCACTGGACTCCCACGTAGTCTACCGCGGTTCGCATCCCGGACCCGGCGGCTTAAAACTCACGTCAGGTGCATGTACGTGCATGCCCAAGATCCCGAGAGGAGAATGGAGGAGGAGGGGTTGCGGCGTGGCCCTC